TTTCTTTTTTTATTAATTTTTTTTTGTATTGGTTTTTCAGTTGAATTATACTTAAAGTTCAGGGTAGTCAACTGTTAAAAACATACTGTTCAAATTGTTTTTCTCCCATAAATTTATGTTTTCAAAGTAAATGGATAATCGTTTTTAATAATCGTGATATCAATTATTGACCCAAATAATCGAGATTATGATTTTTGCCATAATCGAGAAGCCCTAGTTCACATTAGAAAATTCCACATTTAAAACAAACACAGAGCTAACCGGGAGAAGAAAACAATGAATGTATTAAAAGTGTGTTTGACTTGTTAACAAAAAAACATAAGAGAGATGTTACATATTAAATACAATATGAAATAACCATAAACGATTTCTCCATATTCTGGGGTTATTACTCAATTCTAAAAAAGGGGTCCCTTAAGAGAAAAGGTTCAGAACAACAGCTTTAGGAAGCATTTACATACACATATATTTTCAAGATTGCCTCTAACTATTGCAGGAAACGGTTTATTCTTGTCTGGACTTAATGTACCTCCACAAAGCAGCATCTCATTAGAGTGCCACTGTGTCTGACCCATCTGATTACTCGCTTTCTTTTCCTGCCACTTCTGCTTTATCGTTGTTTCTTTCTTTGAGTGTCTTGTTAAACTCCAATAAGCAGATGTCATGCCTCCTCTCTGCCTCCTTTATCTTTTTTCTCTGATCTCTATGCCTTTGTTCTCCCCCCGTTTGTTTCGTTAGTGGTGTCTGTTTCTCTGTTCTCACAATCCCCATCCCTCAATTTAACTTGTGTTTTCCAACAGAAATATGAGCATTTGTGTATTTGCTTACATTAAAAGATAGCCTGAGTCTATGTTTAGTCATCGCAGGTGACTTGAGTCGAAGCAAAGGCCTCGAACATGCTGATTTGTAGTCTTCACAATGACAATCCCTTAAGAGCCTGAATAGCCAAACATCTTGACAAAGCACTCTACCAAGATAAACCCTCACAAAGCACTTCCATTTTCTGTCTTTTGAAGGGCTCACAGTCACCACATGGCAATGCAAGAAAGCTTCTCTGCATTATTCGCTCAATTCATTTGTATCTCATCCTCGCTTAATGGTTGACTGCTGTCACTGTATGTCTTTGTATATTCTCCTTTTCTTAGGTATAGTGTATGTGCACATACACGTGTATTTGTGTGTTGTGACATCATTCATATGCATGCAATGCAGCTTCGTCACGCATTGAGTAGGGAGCAAACAGGATAGTCTTAATGTACAACCACACATCAAGACACAGTTGAGAGAGCTATCACTCAACATCCTGGAACTTTTCATCCTTGTTTGTCGTCATTAATGCTAACATTTTGGAGCTTGAGATCAAGGGATATTTATCAGCCTCTTTTCCTCTCTTCCGCACACATTAATACACAGCGGCCCTGGTAAATATCCAAAAATACTCCCTTAGCGCCTTTTAAAACCTATGCATGTTTATTTCTGTCAGTGTTTGCAGTCTGCTTACTGAAATTCACACATCTTGATGTCTCTGTTGCCTCCCTGTACTTGACTGTCCCCCTCTCTCATCTCCACTCTTCTCCACCATCTGACTTGAAGTCTGTCCGCTGCACTCAGTTTTATTTAGATAGGACACATTTATAACATCCATTTTTACCTGCCGCTTGCATATTTAGTACGCGTGATCAAAACATTTTTGAAAGGTTTAATGAAAGCGAGTGAAGCTGTAAGATGCCAGTGTGGAGCTGTTGTGTTTGCTATAGAAAAACCAAATGGGATATAATCAGCCTGTAGAAAGTGCTGGAGGCGCCTGTCTGTGTGAGATAGAGGAAATGCCATCAACGCACGATGGCATGTGAAAGTCATGTATTGATGAGAAAATAGAGGGCAACAACCTCAGAACAAAAGCTTGGTTGGATTAACACTTTTACCTCTCACTGGGGAGTACATCAGATTTAGAACCACTTACAGCAAAAGGCCTGTTAGTTTGAACTTCTATAATAAACAAATATAGTCAGCTTTGTTATATCTAAATAGAACAAAGCTGTCTATCTAATAACATGGTATTTCAGGTTTTTTTATAGACTGGTAGTGGGTTCATATGGTATGTAAAGAAAGGGATAACTCTGACCTGTCCTGACACAAAGGAACCTTTACATATCCTCACTCTAGTGCTAACTGTTCTTCTCTTCTTCTTTGCAGTTATCGCGGACTCGTTGACAGTAGTAGCTCCCGCCCAGACTCTGTCCAAGGTGGAAGGCGACACGCTGCAGCTAACCTGTGAGGTATCTCGGACCACTCTGCAGCACACTCACTTATCAGTGGGCTGGTACCTGCGCTCCCCAGAGGACGCGGCATCCCCTCCCCAGGAGCTGGTCACCCTGTCGAGGGACTTTGTCCTGCGCTCCGGGGGCCCGTACCGGCAGAGGATGGCGGCAGGGGACCTCAGGCTGGACAAAACCAGTGCCACTTCCTACAGGCTGACTATTCACAAGCTGCAGCCAGTGGACCAGGGCCTGCTGTACTGCCAGGCTGTTGAGTGGATTCAGGACACAGATGGCAGCTGGTTTGCCATGACCAGAAAGCAGAGCGAGAAGACTCAGCTCCGCATTCAGCCCACTGGTGAGTCAAGAAAAGAGAATCTGTACAAAATAAAAGGGAGGCATAGACAGGGCAAAGATGCTGCTCTCCTCTTAGGTCCCCCCTGTCCTTTTGACAGACGCACAAGCACACATGTGGGCCGGCTTCCTCTGATTGCTGATCAGTATCTCCCACTAAGCTCATTAGCTCACTAAAAAGGGCTTAACTAAACCTCCACAGACTCTGCACTTTTGTATTTGTGTCTGTTTGATGGGCAACATTACAAGCACATCCAGGAATAACTTAACCAGCTTGGAAACAGCTTGGCTGTTTGACAGGGGAAGACCTATGGCTTCCACATTTACAATTTCCCAGACAACAAGTGAACCAGGGATCGGAATGTAAAGATGCTTTTTTCATTACTCTCTGCCAACAATTACACCATTCTAGTTCGTGCCTGAGTGCACTAGTGGGAGAATCCGTGCTGGTTTGGTGCGGTTGCCAACTCTGAAGGAGGATATTGTCTAATGGAAGGGAGGAAGGGAATTACTTACCGAGGAAGGAAGGAGCAGGGAGGGGGAGTATTGGCGGGGGACGTGGGGAAGAGTAAGAAACAAGGGGAAAGTATGTGGAAGAAAGAAACAGTTTGTTGCTGTGGCTCATTGAGGAGTATGCCTCATATGATAATGATCTAACGAACTGTCAATCGCAGACTTGATAGACCGGAACCAAAGACGGCTTTACGACTCCCCACATGTACTTATAACCTCCCACCGACCTGACCCCACCTCACCCTCTGCTGTGTATTGCGCATACATAAAGAAAGTCTTTCTATGCTTCCAAGAAAGGGCCACGGAGATGGGTGATAAACCGCTTTGACATTAGCTCAATTACCAAGGCAGCAAGCAGTGGCGAGTGTCTCATGCCAGTAAATCACTTCAAAGTGGAATCGTTTTGCCTTTCTCCATTAAGCATCAGATCCGCTCTGGACCAATACAACTTGATGGTGCCCCAGATAGTGCTCGGTGGATGAGAAGGAGAATGGAAACTCCGATGTAAAGCAGGTTTGTCAGATGAGTTCCTGCTACTTCAGGGTGGAGACAAAAGGCACTGTGATAGCTCCCCTCTCAGCACCCTCCGTCACTCTCCTTCTTCTCTGTAATCTATAATAGATGGAGGTGTGGTTACGTGACAAAGAGAATACAGCAGAGTTATGCTGCAGTGTGCGGCTTGGGTGTGAGTGCTCAAACTCGTATGTGGATACACTTAGATTTCTTATTTGTGTGCTCATCATTGCATGATGCAAGCACCACTTGCATACCTTTAGGCTGAACTTGTGTGTTTAATATTGCACCTGTCCATGTGCAAATTCGACAGGCGGAGAGAGACATTTAGAAAAAAGAAGCGGTAGCTCCTCCATTAGGTTCTTATTATAAAAGATGGAGTGGATCTTACGACAGCCCCACCGCTAACTAATCACCCACCGGCAGCATCAGAGAGAGTAGCAACGGACAGAATCCTAATGTACCTTTCGCTCTTGGTTTTTTACCATCTTTCTCTTTTCTCTCACCTCCTCCCTTGTTCCCCACTCTCACATCACCTCTCATTTTCTGCACTCATGTCTCATCACTGCATTTCTCACTTCTCCCTCTGACTTTCTCCATTACGCGCTTTTTCCTTCGCCCTTCTGCTTCTCGCACTTAATTCTCTTTCTTTCTTAATTAGCTCTGAACACTAACACATGCTGGACCTGTGAGGCTGTTATTTACCCCTCGGCACCCTAAGCTGAACTCTGCTGTAAAAATGGTTTAAAAAGAGCTCCGTGTGCAACTTCCTTCACAATTCATCCCATTCAAATGCCACGATACAATGACTTGCTGTCCTTTTTAAACATTCAGGAAGCAATCGGTTGGACTTCCCCTTGACCCTGATGTCATAATTTGCATCTATATGTTCCCCACTGCAGCGAGTAATTATTATTTCCATCAGACATTTAACTAATTATACATTATTATTATTATTAGCAGTAGTGCTATTAATAGTACTATTAGTCGTTGTATTGTTATAATACAATTATTGACCACATGTATTCCTTTTTTAATGTTACCTGAATTATGATTGTTTTAGCTAAAATGACATATTCCTAACTACACTACTATGATTGAAATGCTGTTTGTCTTTTAATGAAAGGCATCCAGCTCTCAGGCTCAAAAGTCTCTATTTTACTTGTGTGTATGCTTACTGTGTGGGTTTGTGTGTGTACCTTCATATGTTTGTTTATGTGTAAACAATATCCCTCTTCCTCCCACCTTAATGTTCCCCATAACAAGCTCAATACCAACGTCAAGCTTTGAACTTTTCCACATGAGTGTGTTTCTCAGGAAGTCTTTGTAATTACAGCTCGGGGCGACCACCTCACTGAGAGGCAAAGCAGCAGTCTCTGATACATACTGTGCTTATCATCTGGAAATTAATACAGCAAATCAAACTGAACTCCCAGCCATACACACACACGCACGTATGCAAGCACAACCGCACAACAAGCTTAATGTGGAGGAGCTAGCATTAGCAGTTTACTTTGACTGCTCTTTTTTAGACTGTGCAGGGGCATGAGGAGAGAGCCTGACTCTGTTTCAGACTGCTGAAGAGAATTTTAATCAGATGTGTTTTTTTTTTATTGCAGAGGTGAAACCAAGCGGGCTCTGAAAGATCAGCGTTTTACTGGAGTTATGCATTGCGTGACCTTAAAGCTTCTCCAGCTTTTATTCTCCCTCTAGCTCACTCCTTTTTTCTGTCCCTCTCTCTAACTGATGTTATTTTATGGCCCCCACCTATACCTGACCCTCAATCTCTGCACTCTCTTTAAGTAGGCTGCGGGTTCAACATATAGTAGACTGTGGATATTAAGATGAAGGCAGTGTTGTGCATTTCAAGTGTAGCAGACATTAAGAGAGTCTTGTTTTAAACATCAGAGAAAAGTAGTTTGAGATCATAAGAGAGATCTCCCCCACACCTACGCTCTTCCATTCTGCTGCTTTGTTTTAAATCTAGTGCAAGGATTTTTTTTACATTTACAGATATTGAATAAATATAGTGCCTTTCTAAATCACAGTGATAGTAAACGTTCCAAAGGGTATATTCTTTTTTGTTTTATACACCACAGTTATATCAAGGTTTGCCAATGCAATACTTTTTCGCAGCTAGCCAACCACTTTCAGATTGTAATACTCAACATTCCTTTAACTTGTATTCCTTCTGTTTCCCCCCCCCCCTTATCTTCTTTACTCAGATCGGGACTTTAGCATCCAGGTGAGCACGGACCGTCGGTCCTTTACGGCCGGTGAGCCGCTGGAGCTTCGCTGCACCATTGAGGCCCAAAACGTCCCAGAGCGCTTCTTCTCGGTGTCGTGGGTCTTCAGCAGCTCACCGGTGGCCGTGGTGGGCCCCAGTGCTGTGCCTGTCCTGGGCCCCGATTACGTAGCCCGCGAGGCTGCTGGCCATATGACAGTGCGCAAAGAAAGCACCAACGTGCACTTGCTCAAACTGCAGCACCTACGCCCAGAAGATGCTGGCAAGTATATCTGCCGGGTGACAGAGCGGGAGAAGACGCCCACGGGAGACTTCATCGACCGCAGCAAGAGGTCTCGCAATGTCCAGATCACAGTCCAGCCGCTCAGTGAGTAATAATCTGTTCACAAGGCCAATGGCTTAGATGTCCTGTCCTTAGTTGTCAATTACACTAAGAATGATGAGCTTCTCATAATAACAGTTTTATCTTCATGGAGGCAGCATGAAATGTCACGCTGTGCTCCTCTCTCTTCCTCTCTCAGTCTCCCCCTCTGTCTTTCTCCAAGGTGGCCTATAACTGATAGCCGCACAACCTGTATTGTTAACTGAAAATAAGACCGCGAAAGGATGATGCTACTCTTATTATTCCTGATGTATTTTTCAGTTTGAGTGGATTGTTAAGGGGATGGTAATGCAGCATTATGGTCCTTTCCATTCCCTTGGCTTAGCTGAAAGGGAGGGGGATGGGTAACACTATAGTCGGATAATGGAGAGCAGAGGAGCCAAGACTCAAGAAGGCTAAGCTAACAGCCATGAAATGAAAGTGTGGAGAAAGAAAAGAAGCAGAGAAAGGCGCCTAGCTCTCCAGGGCCCGCTAAGTGGATCCCAAGGCTAAATGAATGTGTCCTGCTGGGGCAGACTTCTTCAGATAGGTTAAGCAGGGCTGGCCGGCGGGGTGGGGGGGGGGGGGTCATATCAGATTTTCTGCTGATTGATGCAACCGTACAAAGCCCTTTCCCAATAATATCAACCAGACTTTTCTCCATCTCCACCAGTTTGGGCCACTGCTTTATCCCCACTTCTCTCTTTACCTTCTTGTCTCTTAGGGATCAGACAGTGAGTGGAGCCAGCTGCTACCAGCCTAATAAAACATTATAATCACAGAGTAGTATCTCCTCCGAAGCAGCCAGCGCTACCTTACCCTTACCGCTCTGCACCCCCCCCTGCTAAATCAGCCCAAAACAATGGCCCCGAGCTTGCAGCAATCTCCAGGGAAGCTCTCTGTAGGGGAGGTTTTGTTTTCCCGACAAAAGACCGTAATGCCTCATAAAGGATGTGTATAGGGTTTACACAGGATAATGGCCATGGTTATTGGAGGAGAACTAATATGATATACAGGAGAAGTGGTCAGGCCAGCATGTATTTGATACTCAAACAGTCCTCTCAGGCCTGCTTTCTCACACGCAAACAATTTTAAGATGTTTTTCATCACTCTAATTGGGGGAAATGGGTAAAAGTTGGTAATAGGGTGCAACAGGGGTTAAAGTTAATGAGTCAGAAGCAGTCAGGGGTGGAAGCGTAGGAAAAGCCGAGGTAAACACTTCTGACTAATCGGGGTTGATGGAGGAGTTTACCTTTGCAATGGGAGAGGGGGAGAGAGTCTTCATGCCACGATGAATCTATTTCTTACAGAGAGACCGGATATGTGCAGGATGGGGGAAAAAGAGAGGATACACTGTTATAGAGACTAAATGCATTCTGCAGTTCAAAAAAGAAAGAAGTTGCTGGTGGGGGAAATGAGAGGAAAGTTAAAAGAAAAGGAAATGTTAGAGAAAGGCAACGCTGTCTAGGAACCTGACACTTGGAAAGTAGGAAGGATGTATGTATCTACAGCCTAACAAACCTCTCGGCTCGTCTCGGAGTAAAAAAATGATAGAATACAATATGAAACATCTGGCTATTTTAACAAAAGAGAGAAAGGAGAGGAAAGGGTGAAGGTTTTCCCCTTTGTTCATTTGAGCGTGATAGAAGTAAGAAGCCAGTTTATTCCATATTCACAGACACCTCATGCTTATTAGGAGGGCCGACGGGCTGAGAGGGAAGCAGCAGAGCTTGGCCTGAGGGTAGATTAAAAAAAAGTGAAGTGGGAAACCTTTAGATTCATCCCCAAGAGACAGAAGCACTGGCCCTGCATGGCTAAGAAAGCTTTTGGGTCAAACAGAGCTCCATAATGTTTGATGGACGTTGAAGTGATGAGAATCGAGATAAAGCAGAGAAACAGAGGAGCACCAGTAAAGACTTTTATCCTGCACATCTTCTGAAGTACTGCTGAGCCCTGTGATCTAAGCTTTCTTTTCTGTTCCCTTGCGTACTTGGTCAACAAGCCACACAGGGTTCAGAAAGAAAACCTCAACCCACACAAATCCACCAGGGCCTCCTCTCAGGCTGTCACTATAATGTGCCGGAGGCCAGTTACAAAAGTGCACTATAGTCCTCTTACATTTGGGCTTGCAGGCACACACAAACATCCAAACACACATGCACAGCATTCAAACAGGACTTTGTGGTGCTTTACTCCAGAGAACAGGCTCAGCTATTTGTTATATTGCCCCTGGTTTCCTGTAGTCTCTGAATTTTTGAACACAGAAAGCGTAACTCTTGTTGCCTCTGGGATTCAGCGTGAGAAGTAGTTGACATTTTGAGGGGAGTTTGTGCTACTCCATTCATGGGTTCCCACTTTAACTCAAGCTAACCTGTGTGCCTCTCTCTCTTTTGTCTTCTTCTCAGAGAGCAACATCACAGTGTCTCTGTCCAGCAACTCTACTGAGGTCATAGAGGGTGATGTGATCCACTTTTCCTGCTCGGTCTACACCACTACAGGCCCTCTGTCTGTTGTCTGGCAGTGGACAGACAAGCAGGCAGCTGGACCGGGCCTGGAGGTGGCTACGATCGATCGGGAAGGCACTGTATGGCACAGTGCATCCTACAGAGAGCGCTCCAGCTATGGGGAGATACGGGTGGAGAAGGTGCGGGCCGACACATTCTCTCTGTCCCTGTATAATGCCTTACCTGGGGATGAGGGTCAGTACAGCTGCACAGCCACTGAGTGGCTCCAGGCCGGCACTGAACCAGAGCTCAGCTGGGAGAAGATAGGAGAGAGATCGGACACCAAGACGGTCACAGTCAAGACTGTTGGTAAGTTACTGCAACCAAATCTAACCCTATTATTACCATTTCGCAAATTCAGCAGAAAAGTTGTGGAAAGCTGGAGGGCTGTGGGGGCTGCACCCCTCCTGCTGGCCGGAGAAAACAACTTATAATTATAATTGTTCCCTTAAAATAAAATCTGATAAAAATCTGGAAAATGTAATGAATACATGTTAAGTATTTGGACATAATGGTGTGCCTTTGCCCCAGCTAAAAGACATACTTAACACAAATGTGTATGTACAAGTATACTTATTCACTTTAAATAACAAAAACAAAAAAAGGCTATGTGGATAGAATGGACACAATACTCAGCAGTGATCAGGCTGCATCTGTACATAAGTGGATATCAGTCTGTACATGCTAAGCCTGCATGTTTAAGATGAGCAGCAGCTGAGTTTGTTACAGGTTTATATATCCTGGATCATATCGTTAATCTTTGTGATATTATATTATTACCTCACAAGGTTCAGAATGATCTACAAATGTACTCCATCTGTCAACCGATTATTGTGCTGGCAAGTCAAATGTCAAGTGAATTCACATATCACATATCCATACATTGATGCATGCGCAGTAAGCCATTGCACACATGCACTCCAAATGAAAGAGAGGCATCTGGTTTCTGATTTGCTAAAGTAAAGACTGATGAACGGCGCAGGCAGAAAATGCAGTCAGTAGAATACACCATGGTTTATTCATGCACAGCTCAAGGGAAGGAGCTATTATTACTATTACTCAGAATTACACACAAATTACACACAAACACACACAGTCTCACACCACCTGCCACACGTCAAGAGCTGTGCTTCAGTGACACCCATCATAGATGCACACATGCTCGCACACAAACACACACACACACACACACACACACACACACACACACACACACACACACATACACATATATGGATTAACCAGAATTATTAGAATGGAAATGCAGCGGCAATGTGTTTCACAGTCGGTGGGTCTCCTCTGTCAGTGCTGAGTTAAGCTGAACATCCTCGATACAGGCTGAGGAATCCACTGGAGCAGAGCAATGAGGAGCTGGCAGACCAGGAGCACTGGGCTCAACACACACACACACACACACACACACACACACACACACACACACACACACACACACACACACACACACACACACACACACACACACACACACACACACAAAACCAACGGATTAGCTCCCTGCAGCAGCACACAGCGGTGCTGCAGAGAAGAGATGTCAGTTTTTAAGTGGCCATTTGTTAAGTTCGGACAACAACACAAACATTAGTTAAAGGAACAAGGGACGCATTATGCAAAACAACGAATAGAAGTCCGAAGCTGTTCGTCTCTCTTCAGTTACATCTCCTCTCTCTCCCCTATATGCTTGTTGATCAAAGGATTTCTCTAAATGTGCGCTGTTGCGTGACGGTCATTGTTTCTAAGATTTTGGTCCTCGTTTTTCTTACTTTAGCTTCCACTTTCATTTGTATTAGACCTATGCCAAAAGAAGGAGAACTTTTTCGCCCTGTATTTCAACTTTCTTATCTTCGGCTTCTTTTGTATTGCTCCTTGCCCCTAATGAATAAAAAAGGTAAAACGTGTGCTCTGGGTTCCTTCCAAGCTCAGGTTGTGCTGCACACTCTCTGACCTGTCCTCTGAGTGTACTGTTCTACTGGCTGAAGCTCAATATATTATATATGGTCACTGTACCTTTATTATAGATCCTTATGGACCCTGGATGCTACTCCCTTCCTTTATAGACTCCCGGTGCTCACTGATAAGACCTGGAGGGGATGAGAAAGGGATGTCCTCTGGGAGACTCGTGTTTTTGTTGCCACTGTGAAGACAACGATGCTTGGTAGAGAGTCTTGTTTCCAGCTGATAGGCTTACGATGCCCTCAGGGTGTCTTGGGTGGCAAGTGTGTACAAGTGAGAAGCCTACATTACATTCATGCATCCACAGGCCAAAAATGCATAGTAAACTCCCACTCAAGCACTTTGCACAGAGCAGGAAACAAACGCATTCATTCACACAAACAAAGAGAGATGGTTGTATGGGGAAAATGGATTGGTGTGAAATCCTCTTTTCTATCATAGAGGCAGGCAGACAGTGAGGGAGATGGATAGATGGAAGAGGGGCGCAGGGAGATAAGAGATTGAGATGGGTGAGTTATTGTCTATTAGAGAATTATGTCCCGAGGCAGCTGTCCCAGCAGTAGCCAAGTCTGGACAGAGAGCCATTGATTACACACCCTGAAGGACATCGAGGGTGAAGCTGTCAAAGGGGGAGAGAGGGTGAGGGACAGGGGGAAAGCGATGTGGCCGATGACAAGAATATAATGGAGAAATTTGCAAGAAAAAAGGCACAGCAGGGCCAGGGTTGATAAAGGGCCATAGTGTATATCTCTCTCGCTCTCTCTTGAGTCCCTTGCTGTCCAGTGTAAATGTATCTTGGCAATAACATATGGAGTTGGGTGAATGTTTTTAGTTTAATGAGGATAGTTAAGACTGGGCAAGGAGTGGGACATAGATATAACATTGGCGCTTAGAGGAAATGGCTCCCCTGAGTGTTCTTTGTGGCGTTACCCATTTTGAGGAGTGCTCACCCAGTCGAGCACTCAAATTCATATTTAGACAGAAGTTAAAATGTAGTTGCATCAACTAAATGGCTGTCTTTAAGTGCTTAATGACAGTGGTAAATGCTTGTGGAGATGTATAACTACTTTACCAGTAAGTCAGTGCGCTTTAAGTAAATACTATCTGTATTTGTTCCAGCTGCAGGCTTTGTTTCTCTTGCTAGCCATACTTAAAAGGAAACGATTATGAACCCCCCCACATCATTAACTGAGCTTTAAGCTTTTAGAGAACAGACTCTTATCACACAACCAGCCTTTGTTGTGCTATTACTATGGAATCAGTGTAAATCAACCAATGTTTAAAAGGTTAATCACCAGACAAACACAAAGTTCCTAACACTCTTCTTTTCCCACCATTTAGAGTCTTCCTTCATGGTGTCAGCTTCATCGCGGACGCCATCCGTTAACTTCGGAGACTCGTTTGACCTCCTGTGCCTGGTGAAGCCCCGTCACAACCCTCGTGTCCCCACATCTGTCACCTGGCGCTTCATGCCTGCTGGCTCCGAAGCTGGCGACGAGGGTGATGGAGAGTTCAAAGACCTGGTGACATTCACCCGCGAGGGCACTCTGCAGTGGGGGGAGCAGCTGCTGGGGCTTGGTACTCGCACCACAGTGGACCGATCCCACTCCAATACCAACTTCCGATTGTCAGTGACCCGGGCAGGGCGTCGCGAGGCGGGCAAGTACCAGTGCTCCGCCGTCCTGTGGAGGAAGAACTACGACAACAGCTGGAGCAAAGTAGCCAACCGCACTTCCAACCTGCTTGGCATCAGCGTCCTACAGCCAGGTAAAGCTGCATGGCTGCCTGCCAGACACATTTAATTGGAACGGACACAGACCAGCACACAAACAAGGATAAACACAGATCCAGACACAAACTCGCACACATACACATCCAGTGCTGAGAGGATGTCTCCCTGCTCTAATTGCTCTTAGTCTCTCTCTGGGTTATCTACTAATTGGAGTGTGTGTGTATGGTGGTGCGTGTGCATGCAGGGCAGGGCGGGGTCTCCTAATGGAGCGCAGTGAATGGATTGCTAAATATCCCACAGGAAGGGAAAGACTGAAAAAACGGTGTGAAAAGGTAAAAGCGCGAAGCGAAGCACGTAGACAGAGTGACAAAGTGTGATAAAGAGTGAGCGATCTGTCCTTGAACCCCTTTTCCTCAGCGGAGACATTAAACTGTCTACACTGCTCTCATTGGCCCTCTGTGCTCCACACATACACAAGAAAAAACCCCTTCAGACACAGCCCAATTAGTGGCCGAACACAAACAACAAGAACACAAGGACACACAAACCCACACTGGCCAAATTTAGCCCAGTCTGGTGTTCCTCAACAGCATGATATACTTCATTTATTCAGGTGAACGTGCCCGAGGCATATACTTATGCTGCAGAAAAAAAAACCTAGTCTGGCTTGAAATGCAGTCCAGCAAAGCATTATGGCACCTCAAGTACCAATGGGGTACCAGATCTGAGACTG